CTTCCCGTTCCCGGCATGCTCCGCGCCCCGCCCGTGCCCCGCGTGCCGGTGCCGGTGCCCGCCGCCTGCCCCCGCTGGGCCCGGGGCGGCGCCTGCTCCTCCCGGGGGCTCGCAGGAGCCTTGTCGGAGGACGTCACGCGCGTCCTCGCACAGTAGCATGACGTGCGGATGACGTGGGGTGAGGAGATGCTGTCGTTGCACCGCGAGGTGCAGACGCAATACCGTGTCTTACCAACAAGGGCCGGGGAGCGGCATGAAGCCACAGGGTACCTCCGAGCTCCCCCGCAGCATAGCCCAGGGGTGGCGTGTAGGGGGTGCACGCGGGAATACGTGCACCCCCCTACAAAAATCATCAGCTCCTGCGGGTTGTCACTACTTGCCATCCCCCCGCAACACCGCCAGCGGTGTCTGCAGATGGTCACCGACCCCTGGCTGGCGCTCGCCGCCCTCTCCCGCCTGCTGCTGACAGTGCCAGCGGCGTCTGTGGGAGCTCCCACTTACCGCCGCCGCACTCTCACCACCACCACGCACCACCAGCCGCCGGGGACATGTGTCATTCGTGGCCCAGACAGAGCACCCCTGCTCCTGTTTCAATGCATGTTTTAAGCAGCAGAAGCGAGGTGCTCGGTCATGGCCAGGGAGGCAAATCCACCTTGGGGACAACCCTGGTGGCTCTGTTGATCCCAGTCAGGGGCATCCTATGAGGCTCTTTCAACATCGCATTTCCCGAGTTTCCTAGGAGTCGGGACCCACCTATGGCTTTACACAAGGGGCGCTATGTCCCTTGAGTGGGTTGCTGTCCTCAGTGGAAAAGACCAGGCTTTTGTATATAGAGTCCTCTTGGTGACATGATACGTCTGTCTGACAGAAAGCACTCTCTCCTGCCCCCTCTACCAGGCAGAGACCTACATCTGGATAGAACAAAGTACGGTTTCAACTTCCTTCACTTACTAAGGCTAATTAACAAATCACATTCAGGAACATAGGTGCCAATAACTTCCCCATAACTAGTAGTACTTTAACTTTACCTAAACTTTTAAAAAGTCATGTAAATCAGGGGTGTCAAAGATAAAGCCCACCGGCTGGGTGTGGTTCATGGAGCCCTATCATCCAGTCCCTGGTGTTGTCCCTGGGTCTGGCTTTGACTCACATGCCCACAGACAGTGCCCACTCCAGCCAGCATGGGACCTGCGCTGCGTGCAGCACCCACTTCAGCTTGCCTGGGACATGCACCATATGTGTGCTTCTGTAGTTGCCATCCCCTTTATGGTAACATTCACCACCACTCTGTGCTTGTGTGTCTGCTATAGAAGAGTACAAAAATTGTCTTGTTAAAGTGGTGTGATGGTGAGTACAGTCAAGGTCTTGGAATGTATCCCTATCTGTTACATTGTACAGTGGGTTCACTTTATGCAGTGGTGACATGTAGGGTGTGCACAGGGGAGCATGTGCACCCCCTGAGAGCGCCGGTCCACCCCCTGACCGGCCACAGTTGCCACTTAGGCGACGGGCAGGGGGGCAGGTGGGAGCGCCAGAGTGGGAGAACTGTGGCGCTCCCAAAAGTAGCTGCAGTGATCAGC